TGAGTGCGCTGTGGGTGTGGGAGCCCCTGGTGCCGAGCCCGCGGGCACTGCCCAGAGTCTGAGGGGCAGGGGCTGACCCTGGTCCCTTCCTGCCCCCAGCGCCATCTCCCTCTTCTACGAGCTCTCCGAGAACGACCTGAACTTCATCAAGCAGAGCAAGGACGGCTCTGGCTTCCTCATCAACCTCATCGACTCCCCAGGCCACGTCGACTTCTCCTCGGAGGTGACAGCTGCCCTGCGCGTCACCGACGGAGCTCTGGTGGTGGTGGACTGCGTGTCCGGTGAGCGCGGGCGGCCTGGTCCTGGTGGCCCTGGGGAGGCAAACAGGCTTGCAGGGCCCTGTGCAGTGTGGGAAGTGGACAGTGAGCGAGAGTGAGTTTTTCTTTCGAGACAGGGTCTCTCTGTGCAGCCCTGGCTGTCCTGGATCTCATTCTGGAGCCCAGGCTGGCCTCGAACTCAGAGATCCGAACTCAGAGATCCGCCTGCCTCTGCCTCCCGAGTGCTGGGATTAAAGGCGTGCGTCACCACTGAGAGAGCTAAGTGTTAGTTTGAGGCAGGGTGTGGTGGTGCCAGCCCTGGAGTTCTGAGAAGGAGCAGGAATGTGGCAGATGGAGCTCTTGAGTTCAAGGACAGCCAGGTCTGTGTGGTGAGACTCTTGCTCGGCTGGAAAGATGTCACGTGGTTTTGAGCGCTGTGTGCTCCTGCAGAAGACACAGTACTTAAGCCTCCTGTAAACCTGGGGTAGCTGCGCTTGTGCAAAGATTCCCACCCAGAAACATGAGTACGTTCACCGCTCTCGGGACGTGACAGCTCGGGGGTCCCTACTGCTCCTCCAGGACGGTCTGGGCCCTCAGGGCATCTGACATCTGCCATCCATCCTGAGCGCACAAACTCAGGCAGTGGTGGCGCTCGCTTTTAATCCCAGCACCTGGGAGGCACAGCCAGGCCAGCCTGGTCTACAGAGTGAGTTACAGGACAGGCTCCAAAGCTACAGGGATTGCCCTGTCTTGAAAAAGTGGGGGGAAAGCGCCCCCCCTTGAAAGGCTGCTGTGTCCGCAGGCGTGTGTGTGCAGACGGAGACGGTGCTGCGGCAGGCCATCGCCGAGCGCATCAAGCCCGTGCTGATGATGAACAAGATGGACCGCGCTCTGCTGGAGCTGCAGCTGGAGCCTGAGGAGCTGTACCAGACCTTCCAGCGCATTGTGGAGAACGTCAACGTCATCATCTCCACCTACGGCGAGGGCGAGAGTGGGCCCATGGGCAACATCATGGTGCGGTGCAGTCCTTGGAGCTGTGGGGTTGGCCCGGGGCCGTGGGAATCGGGGCCCGCACATGATGACTGAAATTCTTCACTTTGACCTGATGTCTGTTGAAGAAACTCCGTGTCTGAGCCTGAGGGTCTCAGGCGGGAGGGCGTCCAGCAGGTGTTCCCTGGCTCAGTGGCGCCCCCTCCTCTTGCAGATCGACCCGGTGCTGGGCACCGTGGGCTTCGGCTCCGGCCTGCACGGCTGGGCCTTCACCCTGAAGCAGTTTGCAGAGATGTATGTGGCCAAGTTTGCGGCCAAAGGCGAGGGCCAGCTGGGGCCAGCCGAACGGGCCAAGAAAGTGGAGGACATGATGAAGAAGCTGTGGGGTGACCGGTAAGTGAGCGAGGGGTGTCCTGCTTCACCTGCACTACCCAGGACCCTGTGCAGCGTGGTGTGACGTGCTCCCCCCCCCCCCAGGTACTTTGATCCAGCCAATGGCAAATTCAGCAAGTCCGCTAACAGCCCCGACGGGAAGAAGCTGCCCCGGACCTTCTGCCAGCTTATCCTGGACCCCATCTTCAAGGTGGGTGAGCTGTGGCCCGTCCGCTGGCGGCAGGCCCTCGAGTGCCCTCACCCGGGGAAGCAGCTCCCCTGGTCTCTGCCCCGCTTCCCTCTTGTGTACAGGTGTTCGACGCCATCATGAACTTCAGAAAGGAGGAGACGGCCAAGCTGATCGAGAAGCTGGACATCAAGCTGGACAGCGAGGACAAGGACAAGGAGGGCAAACCCCTGCTCAAAGCTGTGATGCGCCGCTGGCTGCCCGCCGGGGACGCCCTCCTCCAGATGATCACCATCCACCTGCCGTCCCCCGTCACCGCCCAGAAGTACCGCTGTGAGCTGCTCTACGAGGGGCCGCCTGATGACGAGGCCGCCTTGGGTAGGTGTCGGGTCGGTCCAGGCCCTGCTCCGAGTCCCCCAGTCTCGGTCTCGGCAGACAGTGACTTGAAGTCCTTCCTATGCAGGCATTAAAAGCTGCGACCCCAAGGGCCCTCTCATGATGTACATCTCCAAGATGGTGCCAACCTCCGACAAAGGCCGCTTCTATGCCTTCGGGAGAGTGTTCTCCGGGGTGGTGTCGACGGGACTCAAGGTCCGGATCATGGGTCCCAACTACACCCCTGGGAAGAAGGAGGACTTGTACCTGAAGCCCATCCAGAGGTGGGCACCGCCCCGGGGCTGCGCCCCGTCTGCCTGAGCCCTGGCCGCTTCCCATGGGGCCCCGCTGACCTCCGTTCTTCCCTCTAGAACCATCCTGATGATGGGCCGCTATGTGGAGCCGATCGAGGACGTGCCCTGCGGGAACATCGTGGGGCTGGTCGGTGTAGACCAGTTCCTCGTGAAGACGGGGACCATCACCACCTTTGAGCACGCGCACAACATGCGTGTGATGAAGTTCAGCGTCAGTCCTGTTGTCAGAGTCGCTGTGGAGGCCAAGAACCCTGCTGACCTGCCCAAGCTGGTGGAGGGGCTGAAGCGGCTGGCCAAGTCCGACCCCATGGTGCAGGTGTGCCTCGGGGAGCCTGGAGAGGGCAGCCAGCGCCAGGCCCGCGGGCGATGTGCTGGCTGCAGGCCTGGGGTCGGCCTCCCGGGAGTGCAGGGTGCTGACCCTTGTTCCCACAGTGCATCATCGAGGAGTCCGGGGAGCACATCATTGCGGGGGCAGGCGAGCTGCACCTGGAGATCTGCCTCAAGGACTTGGAGGAGGACCACGCCTGCATCCCCATCAAGGTGGGCGCCCACCCGCCCTGGGGCCCGCCGGGAGCCGGGGCTTGCGCCTGTGCTGCTGCCCGCGAGGGCCTCTCAGCAGTGACCGTGCCTGTCTCCTCCTGCAGAAATCGGACCCTGTCGTCTCGTACCGGGAGACCGTGAGTGAGGAGTCCAATGTGCTCTGCTTGTCCAAGTCCCCCAACAAGCACAACCGCCTCTACATGAAGGCCCGGCCCTTCCCCGACGGCCTGGCTGAGGACATCGACAAGGGGGAGGTGTCCGCTCGCCAGGAGCTCAAGGCTCGGGCACGCTACCTGGCTGAGAAGTACGAGTGGGATGTCGCCGAAGCCCGGAAGATCTGGTGTTTTGGGCCTGATGGCACCGGTCCCAACATTCTCACCGACATCACCAAGGGTGTGCAGTACCTGAACGAGATCAAGGACAGTGTGGTGGCTGGCTTCCAGTGGGCCACCAAGGAGGTGAGTGGGGGGGCCCCGGTGTTCCCCCGGGGACCAGTGCCGAGTTTGGCGGGTCTGACGAGCCAGGTTTCCACAGGGTGCGCTCTGCGAGGAGAACATGCGAGGCGTGCGCTTTGACGTTCACGACGTCACCCTGCATGCTGATGCCATCCACCGAGGTGGCGGCCAGATCATCCCCACAGCGCGTCGCTGTCTCTACGCCAGTGTGCTGACCGCACAGCCCCGCCTCATGGAGCCTATCTACCTGGTGGAGATCCAGGTAAGGGGCTGTCTGGGGGAGGCCAGCCCACCCCCCATCCTCTTCCTGTGCCCCGGTTCTCACTGCCGCTCTTCCCCTCAGTGTCCTGAGCAAGTGGTGGGTGGCATCTACGGTGTCCTGAACAGGAAGCGTGGTCACGTGTTTGAGGAGTCCCAGGTGGCTGGCACCCCCATGTTTGTGGTGAAGGCCTACCTGCCTGTCAACGAGTCCTTTGGTGAGTGCCGTGGGTCTCCATGGTGTCCTGGCCCTCAGCTCCCTGGGGTTGGTTTTTATATCAGTGGGGGTCTGTATGTACCCTGAGTTCCAGGCTAGCCTGGTCTACAGTGAGTCTCAGGACACACAGGGATACACAGAGACCTTGTCTTGAAAATCCAGAAGAAAAAAATACAGGAAGCCCAGTCACCCCTCCCTGGGTCCCCGCGATCGTGCCCCGGGAGGCACAGACCCAGGGCAGGGCTCCTCCTGAACCTCCCGTCCACCTCTGCAGGGTTCACGGCCGACCTGCGCTCCAACACGGGGGGCCAGGCCTTCCCGCAGTGCGTGTTCGACCACTGGCAGATCCTGCCCGGGGACCCCTTCGACAACAGCAGCCGGCCCAGCCAGGTGGTGGCCGAGACCCGCAAGCGCAAGGGCCTCAAGGAGGGCATCCCGGCGCTGGACAACTTCCTGGACAAACTGTAGGCGGCCGGGCTGCCGCTGCACGGTGCCTGCCCATCACGCGACACCCGAGACTGTCCCCTGATGCCACCCTGCCGCCATCAGCACTAACGTTGACCGAGTCTATTTATTTCGGAATTCAAGGCGGCGGAGTCTCCTGCGGCTGGACTGGCGGGCCATGGGGGGCGGGGCGCGGCTCTGTCGGGATGGAGAGGTCAGATGTCTACGTGGAGCCTTCGGGGTTGCGGGGCCTGGAGTCTCCCCAGCGGGGGGGCGGCGCCTGCGGGACCCCGGCTGTGCGACCCTGGAGTAATAAATAAACCGCTATGTTGACCCCGTGGTCCTGTGCTGTCGGGGGCGGGGCGGGGAGATGAAGGGAGCTGGGCCGGGCAGATGGGGGCGGGGCGGGAGCTCACCCGACCAATCGCGGTCCTCGCCGAGGACGCTGCCCAAGTTGCCGGGCGGGGCCGGGGCTGCTGGCCAATGAGCGCTGGCTTCCGGCTTGCACCGGCGCCACGTCACCCGCGCACACTTCCGCCTGTGGGTGGTGATGCTGGCCAATGAGCGCTGGCTTCCGTTTTCCCGAGCGTGACTCGGGCCAATTGGCGCTGGCTTCCGGTCTGCACGGATGCGTCTGCGCGTTTGGCACATGCGCAGATGGCTCCCGGGGAGCTTGCGCAGGAGGAGGACGCGGGGGCTACGCTGGCATCGGGCGGGGACCCGCGGGCCGTGGATGGTACGGACGGGCCGGGGCCACGGGGCGGACACCCACGGGACACGCGGCGAGGGCGCGAGCCAGGGAGGGGACCGCGGGGGCTGCGTCGGCCCCGGGACGCTTCAGCCCGGAGACGGGCCGCTAAGACTGCGCATGCGTCAGCCCTCTGGCGACGCCCCTGAGTTCCGGGGTGCAGGTGGGCATGATTGACAGGTGGGCAAGCTCGCTAGGGACCCCAAGCGCTGGAGGCTGTGGAAGGATATTGAGGGCAGAGATCGCATGCACCCCGGGTGCAGCCGGGGACGACACTCTGCACCGGTGGCCGCGTGTGCTGTGTGCGAGGTCATTTTGTTCCTGTCATTGCATCTGTGCCTGAGAATGGCACAGGAAGATGATGGGGGCCGGCGTGCGTGCGTGTGTGTGTGTGTGTGTGTGTGTGTGTGCGCGCGCGTGCGTGCGTGCAGGACCTGGCGTGGCCACGAGAGGGCCGTGGGTCACTTGGTGTGGCAGGTGTAGTCAGTCAGCTGCTGTGGGCCTTGGGAACCGAGCTCGGATACTGAGAGTGCAGCGCCCCCCTTAGTACCTGAGCCATCTCTGCGGTCCCCTGCGCACGCGTGTGCGCGCCAGCGAACCCACACATACATACGCGCACACGCACACGCGCACACATACACATACACGCACACACACACACACACACACACACGCGCGCGCGCGCGCGCGCGCGCGCGCACACGGAGTCTCATGTCGCCCAGCCTGGCTCCCACCTCTCCCACGTACTTGAGGCTGCCTTTGAACGTCTAACCCTCCAGCCTTGCCCTCCCCAGGGCTGGCATGACTGATGTGCTCTGCCGTGACCACATGTGGGGGGGCTTTCGATGACCACAGGAAACGGGGCATTGACGAGCGGTGCCATTTCTGCCAGGACACCGTGGGAGAGGCGTCGGGCCTCCCGCCAGGGCCTCTGGGAAATGGGACTCCCTGATGACCGACTCCTCCCCGTGTCTCCCCAGCTCCCCCGTCCCGAGAGTCCTCCAGCAGGCAGGCCGCCATGTCCGCGTTCAGGCAGGAAGATGTCGAGGACCACTATGAGATGGGAGAAGAGCTGGGCAGGTGAGTGGCACCGGGGGTGCACGCCGGCCCGCACCTTCCTGTCCTCTGTCTCTGTGGATCCTGAGTGTGCCCGCGAGCGAGCTGTGGGGACAGGCGGGGAGGCACCGCTGTGGGGTTCTGAGTTGGTTTCCCCCCTGTGGACACTCACTGTGTAGCCCTGGCAGGTCTGGAGCTCACGGGGACCCCACTGCCCCCGAGCACCAGGACTAAAGGCGCCCCTGACCTCGGTTGATGTTTCTCTTGTCCGCTGCTTTGAGGCGGATCTCACGGACCCCAGGCTGGCCTTGAACTTGCGTGTGTGTTTGTGCGTGTACCTCAGATGCACACACGACTTCCTGGGGTCTGGTGTCTGCCACGTGGGTCCCAGGGCCTGAACTCGGGGTCACGTGTCGCAGCCCTGGGTGTTGACCTGGCATCCGGGTGACGGCTGTCGCCACCCGCTGCACTCACTGTTTCTGGACGTGGAAGGTCTCCCTCTCTAGGCTTTGGGGTTCACTTGAGTCTCCCCAGCTTTTGCTTGGTGTCCCTTGGGAAAGCCAGATTTTCCCTGCCCAGTAGGCCTTGGTGGGCTCCCCCCTCCCCCCACTCTGTCCCCCCTCCCCCCACTCTCTCCCCTCCCCCCTCTGCCCCCCAGGGGCCTCAGACCTTATTTGGCGAGTTCTGGCCTGGCCAGCCTTGGGAACCTCAAGGCCTGCCTCGTGATGTCATCCGGATGGAATGTAAATAGCGCAGAGGCTGGGGAGGGTCCTCCTGACTGGGGGGGGGAGGCCCTGAGTCACTTCCTTCAGGAGTTTCCCGGTTCAGCCCCCCCCCCCCAACCTTCCAGCTAAACTGTGGGGCGAATGCGAACAGCTGTGTGCGGATGCCGGGACACAGCTCTCCAGCACCATGTACAGAGCCACGGGTGGTGGCTTCCCCTGTGAGCCCGGTGCTGGGGATGTGGGGCCATCCCAGGTTCAGTGAGACCCAGACCCCCCCCCCAAAAAAAAAAAAAAGATGTGGGGCTGGGCTGGAGGGATGGTTCAATGGTTAGAGCACTTGCTGCTCTGGCAGAGGACCTAGATTCGATTCCCAGCACCCACACGGCGGCTCACAGCCGTCTGTGCCTCCAGTCCTAAGGGATCCGATGCCCTCTTCAGGCCCCTGTGGGCAAAACTCGCACGGAAATAAATACGGATCACAGGTTGGACGGCAGCTCGCGTTGTTCTTGGGCCCGCAGCTGTGCCGCACACCCCACCCCCACCCCCACCCCCGGGAAATGTAGCCCGTGTGTGGTCATGTCCCGGGGATGCTTCCAGGACCCCCTGACGTCACAGGCTTCAGTGCCCAAGTCTCCTCCAGCCAAGGACGCGTTGTGCCTAACCCGCCTGTGCCGTGCGGTGCCGTCATTTAAAGTGCTCCGGTGCCGGGGTCCCCAGGCCTTCCAGCACCGTGCACTCACCCGCTGCCTGGTCTCTGCATCTTTACTTTTTGTGTGTGTGTGGGGGGGGCGGGGGCAGCTTGCAGCCCTTGGCTCTCCTCCGCACGTGGGTCCCGAGCGTGCACGCGTGTGCGGGTGGAGGCCGAGCCCCGCCTCCTTCTGTCGCGCCCCACCCTCTTCTGAAGATTTATTTTTATGTCGTGCAAACCCCCGGGCCGGGGTTCCGGGCACACGCGACCACCCCGCGTGTGATCTGGGGACTGAACTCTGATCCCCATATTTCCCGGCCCGCCTGGCCTCCGGCTCCCGGGGCTCTGAGTGCCAGGACCAGTGCCAGGAAGGGCCTGTCGCTGCGTCTGTGGTGACGGAGTACGGTCTGCAGGCCCAGCCCACGCTGGTGCTGCCGGACACTCGGGTTGGAAGCCCGGAGCAGTCCTGGGAGCTGGGAACAGCCTGAGGGGTCCGGTGCGGCCCCCCACGGCTCCTCCCCTCCCTTCGCCTCAGCCCTGCCAGCGGCGCCCGCCCCGGGCAGCCTTGAAATGTGGTGTGGACACTTGTCCCCGCAGTCGTGGCTCAGGCGGGCATAGGTCATTCTGTGCCGGATGGTGAGGGACGCCGCTCGTCTGGGTTCTTGGTGACCATGGGGGCCTTAAGCTGCCGAGTCCTGGGACGGAGCCGGTGAGGGCAGGCAGGCAGCCACGTGCTGGAGCGGCGTGTCCAGAGCCAGGGGCCAGGCTGAGCCCTGCAGTGAGGGGTACCCCCTGGGGCCTCTCTGGAACGCCCCCACCCCCCAGGAGTGAGCTGCTGCAGTCACCATGGTGTTGGGGGTGGGGACTCAGCTGCGGGTGCTGTCTGTGGAGGGGACCTGCCGAGTGGGTGCCGAGCGGGTGCCGCAGTCCCGGGACTCGCCCTTCCCCCAGCTCCATCAGGGGACAGAGTGTTGGTGCTTGAGTAGTGGATATGGACACAGGTCCGGGGCAGGCAGGGCGGGTGCCTTCCAGGCCTCTCCCCCGGGCGCACTCGGGCCACCCGCATGGCTGCCCGGGGCCCCACAGCACTCGCCTCAGGCACACAGGTTGTCAGAACAGCAACATGTTCCTGCTGTTGTGAGACAGAATCTCGCTCTGTAGCCCAGGCTGGAACTCACAGAGATCCCCCTGCCTCTGCCTCCCGAGGGCTGGGATGGAAGATGTGTGCCACACCGGGTGTATTAACTGTCGCTTACTTGTGTGTGTTCACATGCCTGTGCATTGTGCCGTGGGGCGCGTGTGGGGTCTGAGGACAACTTGCAGGAGTCGGTTCGCCCCACTCCGGCTTTGGAAACAGAGCTCTGGCTGTCAGGGTTGGTGCCTCCCCCACCGTCTCGCCAGCTCTGTTGGCTCTGGTGGCCCAGCCTGGCTTCTGACGCACGGTGTAGTCAAGGCCGACCTTGAATGTCTGATCCTCCCGTCCCCAGCTCCCCACTAGGATGGCAGGTGCACTCCGCTCCCCTAAACAGTCCCGTGGGGGGTCCTGGTAAAACCTGCAGGAAGTCTGCTGTCCCAGCTGCCGTGAGAACAAGGCAGGACCGTCACGTGGGCCGGGCCACACGGCTAGACTCATCCCCCATTCTAAAAACAAGAGGTCCAGGAGCCAAACATAATTTATCAAAGACAAAACAAAAACACCGGGTGCCGTGGCAGACCCCATCTTCCTGCCCTCAGGAGGCTGAGGACGGGAGTCACCGAGTTCAAGGCTAGCCTGGGCTACATAGTAAGGTTTGGCTGCTGTTGTAGCTTAGATGGCGATGTGCGGGGCAGAGGAGAAGCGTAGACTCACCCCAGAGAGGGAGCCAGCGGCAGGCCGAGCCCCGTCCGCCACCCAAGTCTGGCGTGGTGCAGCATGGTTTTACAGGGGTCACTTCCGGGGGCAGAAATGACTGAGCTGCATCCCCAAGACCCAGCCCAGCATGCGGGGCGGCTCACGAGGCCGGGAACGTGGAGGGCGCTGCGCAGCCCGCAGGCGGCAGGGCAGGCTGGACCGCGCCCTTCCCGGGGGCTCCGGAGACCTGAGCCTCCCTCTCGGCTGCTGTGACCGCGTCTCTCGCCGTCCTTTCTGCTCCTGGTCCTGCGGCGGGAGGGCTCAGCATCTCCGCTCGGTTTCGGGGACTTCCTGTCTGGGGGCTCCCCGCAGGGCGGGGCGCCTGCGTCCCCGGAAACGCTGCTAAGGATCCCCGTAGACGGTGTTAATCCTGGGGAGCCCCTTGCTCAGCCCCCCCCCCCCCAGTGGTCCCTGGGTCCCGGAGAGTCACGTGAGCCCGACGGTGGCCGCCGAACCGCTGTGTCCTCACCTGTCCTTCTCGGCCACATGGGTTTCTGTAAATCACAATGAGGAAAAGGCAGAAAAGGAGCAAAACGTCTAAGTGACCACGGGAGCAGCGACGGCCAGAGCTCATAAACCCAGTGCCAGTCACGAGTGCCAAGCCAACGGGGCGTCCCCTGGGCCTGCGCTCTCGTCCAATCAGAGCTGGTCCTAGCTGTAGGCCCCGCCTCTGACTGGCTGACACCCTGCCCATCATGTGGGGGATGCGGCTGCAGCTCCGTGTGGCCCACAAGGGCCCGGCCACAGGGAGGGGACACTTTAGGCGCAGTCCTCGCCTTAGCACGTGACGTCCTCAGCAACAGGGTCTTTTTCTTACAATCTTAGTTCATTTCCTGTGTGTGTGTGTGTGTGTGTGTGTGTGTGTGTTTCCTGTGTGTGTGTGTGTGTTTCCTGAGAGTGTCTGTGTGCACCACATGAGTGCAGTACCTGCAGAGGCCGGAAGAGGGCATCCGGTTCCCAGAACTGGAGTCACAGGCGGTTGTGAGCGCCGTGGGTGCTGGGAACCCGGGTCCTCTGCAGGGGCAGCCCGTGCGCTAACCGCTGAGCATCTTTCCAGCCCGGCAATCTTTGTTGTTGTTGTTTTATTATTTTGGTTTTCAAGACAGTTTCTCTTGTGTCCCAGGCTGTCCTGGAACTCACTCTGTAGCCCAGGCTGGCCTCGAACTCACAGAGATCCGCCTGTCTCTGCCTCCCAGTGCTGGGATTAAAGGCGGGCACCACCACCACCGGCATGAATGGACTTTTAATGTTTACACTGCTGTTCTTTAGAGGCACTCACACATATCCATGGGTGTCTCTGTGTAGAATACACAAGTGTCGGGTTTGTGTTTCCTGTAGGTGACAGCCAGGACAGAGCCCCATAGCACCAGGTGGGGGAGAGCCGGGGTCATCCCCGGGAACAGTGTCAGGTGACTCCAGGAGTCACATGAGAAGAGGTGTGTGTGCAAGCGTGTGCGCGCACAGGTGAGCCTGTGTCCAGGCTTAGGAGAGCCACTGCCCTCCAGTCGGCCAGGCTTATAACCCCTGCTGTGCATCTGGTACCCCTGAGCCCCAAGAATCGAAGCTTCTAGAACCCACAGAAGTCCAAATATCAGCACCAACAGAAACCCAGTCAACCCACCACTTTACCCGGGGCTGTCAGGTGCTCTGCCGGCCCCCGCCCCTGGAGGCCTCCTTCCTGCCCTGGGCTGAGGTGCTGTAGGGATCACCCGTCCGTCCGTCCGTCCGTCCGTCCGTCCCCCCCCGTCTCCTACCATGCTGAAGTGCTGGGCCGGCCGGTGACATCCCAGAGGCTCAGAAGCACTGCATTGGTCTGCGGTTTTCCCGAGGACTGTGGCCCAGTGTGAGTGTGTCCAGGCTTGAGCAGCCCTCACGGCCTGATGAACGGGGCGTCAAGTGTCACTTTTACAGTCCCCATCTGTCTGTCACTGCAGCTCTGACGTACACACTACCCAGTTCTTCCCAGGGGCTCCAAGTTCCCGGGACAGGCTCTGGCAAGGTAGCACTCGTGTCCTTGTGTAAGAAACAGCAGTGGTATCACCATCCCGGCCTCTCGCCCGGCCGCCTCTGCCCCCTCAGCCTGAATCTTGTTTTAGGACACACAGTCCTGGCCATGCAGCCTCCACAGAACCCCCTTTCATGTTCCTCACAGACTGCAACATTGTTGTAACCCTCCAGCCCTTGGCAGGGCCCCCACACTCACTGGACCCCACTGGTCAGGCAGATGAACCACCCCATGCCATTTGATAGGCAGACGGCATCCGTGGGATGTCCGCTGTCCCCACCCAGACTTCAGCCATGGCTGCCTGTGTCCCCAACTACTGTAGGTCTGCTGGCCCAGGGGGAGGCACTCTGTCCTGTAACACGCAGGACGGGTCACCTTCGCGAGTCCGGCGCACCGCCGCCCTCCGCCCCACGCAGCCTCAGTTGCGTGGACTGCCAGAGCCATGCTCTCGCCTGTGGAGCTCATCCTGGTTGTCTCCTTGTTGGGTGCTCACTGTGTTGTGTGACGTGTTTCCTGGGGAGCTGCAGACCTCCCCTCACCCCAGACAGGGAACCAGTGACAGCCCACGGTGAGGGCACCAGAGCCCAAATTGGTGAACCAGTGAGTTTGTTGGGGTCACTTGCAGAAACAGGGTTGGGGTTGTCTCTGTTGCTGTGATAGACCCTGACTGTAAGCAGCTTGGGGATGAAAAGCTTCATTTCCACTCCCAGCTCCCGGGGCAGGACCCTGGAGGCAGGAGCTGACGCAGAGGCCATGGAGGGAGCTGCTGACTGGCTTGCTTTCTTCTAGAACTCAGGGCCAGCAGCTCAGGGATGGAAACACTCACCATAGCTGGGCCCTTCCATATCATTATCAGTCAAGGAAACGACCCACATGTGCCTTTTCTTGGGCCACCGACCGGCTCCGGAATCATGACATGGAGACCTGATATTAGGCTCGTTCCTTGCTAGTTCTTACAGCCAACTTGAGTCTGGTGCCTTAGACCACTCGGCCCTCCTGACACACACTCTATAGCTCAATTTAACCTGTTTCTCCTCATCTTCCTTTCGCCTTGGGAACTTCTACCTTTTATTCTGTAGTTCTACTCCGTGTCTGGCTGGTGGCGGCCTGACTGGCCCCAGGCATCTCCCTCGTTCTCTCCGTTCTCTCTGTTCTCAAACCTCTACTGCCTAGCTGTTCAGCTGCTGTTCAGCTTTTTTCTTTATTATTATTAATTACAGTGTTCTGCCTGCGTGTCTGTCTGTAGGCCAGAAGAGGGCACCAGATCCCGTTATAGATGGTTGTGAGCCACCATGCGGTTGCTGGGAATTGAACTCAGGACCTCTGGAAGAGCACCCAGTGCTCTAACCTCTGAGCCATCTCTCCAGCCAGTTCGTTCAGCTTTTTATTCAATCAGGTGTCTTAGGCAGGCAAAGCAACACATCTTTACATAGTTAAATGTAGCAGAAACAAATGTAACACATCTTTGCCTAAATATTCCACACATAACCAAATGTAACACATCTTTACATAGTTAATATTCCACAAGGTCCCTCTTCCGGGATAGGTTTAGGGTTGTCTGGTTGACAAAACCCAACCAGAGCCGGGCGGTGGTGGCGCACGCCTTTAATGCTAGCACTCGGGAGGCAGAGCCAGGCGGATTTCTGTGAGTTCGAGGCCAGCCTGGGCTACCAAGTGAGTTCCAGGCAAGGTGCAAATCTACACAGAGAAACCCTGTCTCAAAAAAAAAAAAAAAACAAACCCAAAAAACAAACAAACAACAACAACAGAAAAAACCCCACCCAACCAGCACAGGGTTAGGACAGCAGAAACAGATCAAAGACAGCTGTGTCTCCGACGCCCCCAGGCTGGGTGATGGCGTGTGAGATCTAAGGACCTGGAACCCACTGTACAGCCTCCCAGGGTGGCTGGGTTTCCTGAGCCTCTCCCAGGAAGCCCAGCTGGTCTGAGTCAGCTTCAGGGACTTCCTGAAACCGCCGAGGCGTTGGCTTCCTGTCCTCGGGTCTTTGCTCTAACAGCTAAGGTTTTCCTCTTGGAGGAAGAGGCCGGGCTTGAAGTTGAGATCCCCGTCTCTGCCTCCTGAGTGCTGGGTCAAAGGCGTGGTCACCGAGCCTGTCTGAGGAACCCCATTTTTATGTCCCCTGGGCTTTGGAGACCGGTGTCTCCTGAATGAACGTGGAGCTGGCTGAAGCGGCTGGATCCCCGGCTAGGGACCCTTCTCCCTCCCCCGGCACTGGGGCTAACCGCCCTTGACCTTTCTCGGGTCCCCGATGCTGCCCGGCCCCGGCTGTCTCCCCAGCCGCCCTCTGCTGACTCTGGGGGCGGACCCGCTGCTGGGGGGGCCCCGGGGCCGCGGCGCTCAGCTGTCCTCTCCCCTGCAGCGGCCAGTTCGCCATCGTGCGCAAGTGCCAGCAGAAGGGCACGGGCATGGAGTACGCGGCCAAGTTCATCAAGAAGCGGCGCCTGCCGTCCAGCCGGCGCGGTGTGAGCCGGGAGGAGATCGAGCGCGAGGTGAGCATCCTGCGCGAGATCCGCCACCCCAACATCATCACGCTGCACGACGTGTTCGAGAACAAGACGGACGTGGTGCTCATCCTGGAGCTGGTGTCCGGCGGCGAGCTCTTCGACTTCCTGGCCGAGAAGGAGTCGCTGACGGAGGACGAGGCCACGCAGTTCCTCAAGCAGATCCTGGACGGCGTCCACTACCTGCACTCCAAGCGCATCGCGCACTTCGACCTGAAGGTAGAGCGCGCGCTGCGTGCGTGTGCGTGTGCGTGCGTGTATGTGTGCGCGCGTGTGTGTGTGTGTCTGTCCGTCCGTCCGTCCGTCCATCCTGGAGGGTCACGCCTGCCCCCCTGCAGCCTGAGAACATCATGCTGCTGGACAAGCACGCGGCCAGCCCGCGCATCAAGCTCATCGACTTCGGCATCGCGCACAGGATCGAGGCTGGCAGCGAATTCAAGAACATCTTCGGCACGCCCGAGTTCGTGGGTGAGGGGCCGGCGCGAGTGGGTCCCGCGGGGTGGGGTGGGCCCTGCCGGGTGGGGTGTACAATACCGGGTGGGGTGGGGTGGCAGCGAATTCAAGAACATCTTCGGCACGCCCGAGTTCGTGGGTGAGGGGCCGGCGCGAGTGGGTCCCGCCGGGTGGGGTGGGCCCTGCCGGGTGGGGTGGGTACCCCGGGTGGGGCGGGCCCCGCGTCCTCAGCCTGACCTGCCGCCGCGACCCCGTCTCCCACAGCTCCCGAGATCGTCAACTACGAGCCGCTGGGCTTGGAGGCTGACATGTGGTGAGTGGGGTGGGGGTGAGGCCCTCCCTGTGCTCCCCGGACACGCGCACGCACGCGCGCAGCACACCCGAACGCCCGCCCGCCGTGCGCCACCTCCCCTAGCTGTTCAGACCAGAGGGTGTAGGCCCTGGATGGCCTCCCGCTGGGGCCGGTGTGTGGGGTCTGCGCTGCGGGATCCACAGGTCCTGTGCACTGCCGTCCTGGCCTCAGCCCGTGCTCAGGACCCTGTGACTGCACCGACCACTCTCGGGAACCCTGGCCCTGCGGAGTGGGGGGCCCGGGGCCTAGGCCGCTGCCCCGGCCATGCTGACCCCATCTTTTCTGCCCCTCCAGGAGCATCGGCGTCATCACCTACATCCTGTGAGTGCCGGAGGGACCCGGGTCTGCACCCGAGGAGGCCAGGGTCGGGGAGGAGCTGCTCGCTCTGTGACTGGCTGCACCCCGGCCACGCCCCCGGCCCTCACTGGGGATTCTAGGCGGGGCTCCACCCTGACCACGCCCCCAGCCCTCACTGGGGATTCTAGGCGGGGCTCCACCCTGACCACGCCCCCGGCCCTCACTGGGGATTCTGGGCGGGGCTCCACCCTGACCACGCCCCCAGCCCTCACTGGGGATTCTAGGCGGGGCTCCACCCCGACCACGCCCCCAGCCCTCACTGGGGATTCTGGGCGGGGCTCCATCCTGACCACGCCCCCAGCCCCTCACTGGGGATTCTGGGCGGGGCTCCACCCTGACCACGCCCCCAGCCCCTCACTGGGGATTCTGGGCGGGGCTCCACCCTGACCACGCCCCAGTCTCCGCTGGCCCTGTTTCCGGTTTGCCCCTTCCCTTCCCTGGAGATGTTTCTCCTGCTTCTCCGGCCAGCGCTGGACTCAGCGCCGGAAGACGCTCCAGTTCGCTCTCTGTTGCTGGGACCAAAACTGAGCAAACCCACCTCGGGTCACAGCCGGGCATCGGAGGGAGTCGGGCGGGAACTGAGGGACCCTTGCTCGGGGCTGGCATTGCTCGCCGTGGCCCCGGCTCCCCGCGCCCGTCGCCAACAGTGAAAACACCCCAGATCCCCCCAGGCTCGTGAGCGGGCCCGGTCTCTCCGCTGAGGTCCCCATGGTGACCCTGGCCGCGTCGGGTGGCAGTGACGGGCGGAGGGGGTCACCGCCGTCAGCTAACCCTCAGCGTGCCCCTCCGTGCAGCCTGAGCGGGGCGTCCCCGTTCCTGGGGGAGACCAAGCAGGAGACGCTGACCAACATCTCGGCGGTGAACTACGACTTCGACGAGGAGTACTTCAGCAGCACCAGCGAGCTGGCCAAGGACTTCATCCGCAGGCTGCTGGTCAAAGACCCCAAGTAGGGGACCCGGATGCTTGGGGCTTTCTGGTGTAGTTTGGAGGCAGGGTCTGCTGTAGCCCAGGCTGGCCCCCAGCGTCACCCGTTCACGGCCTCTGTGCCCTCTGGGACCCGCGGCACCAGTGTCCACGGCTCCCAGCAAACCCTCGGGGCTGGCGGAGCTCAGCCAACCTGGCGGGGGGGGGGGGCAGCCCGTGGAGGTGGGTGGGGCACGCGTGGGTGACGGGGGATCATCCCACATGGGGTGCTGTCCGCGACGACCCCTGTGGCCCTGACGGGGTCACGTGGGGTCGTGAAGATGGGGTGGCGGTGGAGCCGCACAGCTCTAAGGCGCCCCTCCCCGCAGGAGGAGGATGACCATCGCACAGAGCCTGGAGCACTCCTGGATCAAGGTGAGGCTCGGGACCCCGGCGGAGGGCGGCCGGCCGGCCGTTGACCCCCTGCCTCACCTCCTGTCCCCGCAGGTGCGCAGGCGCGAGGACGGCGCCCGGAAGCCGGAGCGGCGGCGGCTGCGCGCGGCGCGCCTGCGCGAGTACAGCCTCAAGTCGCACTCGAGCATGCCGCGCAACACGAGCTACGCCAGCTTCGAGCGCTTCTCGCGCGTGCTGGAGGACGTGGCGGCGGCGGAGCAGGGGCTGCGGGAGCTGCAGCGGGGCCGGCGCCAGTG